CGAGGGCCGGAGCAGCCGAGCCCGTTTTGTTCCGTCGCCTAGATGGGGTCCGAGTAGATTGAAGGGGCCCAGGGACACACAAATAAGTATTCAAATCCCAGGATTCCCCATCTTTTCCTAGAGCTTCTGGGTTTTCGCCTATCCCCCCCCTTCCCAGATGTTCTTATATTTTCCTGGGAGTCGACGATTCATTGTGCCTGTGTGTGTTTCCCCTCCTGATCGATGGGGTCGGAGGATCGCGCCGCACAGCCAAGGCATCGGGGACGTCGGCGTGGCAAAAATCGGGTGTTCCACATCGAGCCGCATCGTCGATGCGCATCGTCGATGCTCCGGCGATGCGGCGCGATCCCCCGACCCCATCTACTCGGACCCCATCTGGGAGGCCTAGAGGGATGGATGAGGGGGACGATGGTGATTAGAAGGACGACGGTTTCCTCGCACATGACGGACCACGACTCCGCCTCATCTTCCTCGGTCGGATCGATGAAGGGCCGCCCAACGGTTCGAACCATCAGTCGCCCACAGAACGCGCAGTCGTCTGCGAGTATGGTGTCCAGCTCTTCTTCCACCTCGTCCAGGGTGGCGCCGGGCAGCCCACCAAGGTTCACCACCACTGGCGCCTGCTGCTCCATCCGCGTCGCCTCCAGCGTGAAGAGGCGCTGCCCCCCCTCCACGCTGAGGCTAGGCACGACCAGCTCCCGCAGGCAACCCTCGTGGAAGCAGTGCCCACACGGGAAGGCGTAGAACCTCTCGCCGAGGGCGGGCGCCTGGCAGATCTCGCAGAGCTGGCCGTGCGAGATGACGACGCGGCGCCCCTCCGCCAGGTCCAGGTCCTCCTTGAACGCGAGCAGCGCCCTGCGGTGGTCGTCCATCTCCTGCCGCAGCGTCCGCATCTGCTCCTCGTACGAGCTCAGCGAAGCGCAGATTTCGTCCTTCAGGGCATCGACCGTGATGGACTCGGCCAGGTGGGGCAGCAAGTCACGGACGGTGACCTCCTGCGACTCGGAGATGAGGCCCATGATCCTGGCGATGTCGTCGCCGCTCGCCGCCCTGCTCTCCGCCACGCGCAGCCAGAGCCGCTGGCGCACCGCGCGGTCCGCGGGCCTGCACGCGTGGCGCTTGGCCAGCTCCACGTCGCCGCACCGCAGGGCGACGTCCACGGCGGCCTCGTGCAGCTCCAGCAGCCCGTAGAGCAGCACGACCACGCGCGAGAGCCCCCGCTCGGCGCACACGCGCAGCGCGAAGTGGGCGTCCAGCACCGGGTTGCCCTCTTGGCCGGCGAGGAAGTACAGCAGCTCCTCCTCCGCTCCGCTCGGGCCATCGCCGGCCCGCTCGGCCGCGCCGTCGCCGTCAGCGCAGCAGCACGCATAGAGCACCGCCAGGGCGTTGACGATCGCGGCGCCCGATGCCCAGGTGCCGACCCCCGCCGCGCCGTGCCCGTCGCTGACGAGAGCCGCTTCCTCGTCCCCGAGCGCCCCGCTGACCTGGTCGCTGTTGATCCTCAAGCTCCGCTGCCTGTGCGGCTGCCCCGTGGCGGCCCCCCCGGCGCCCTCCGCGCCGCCCGGGAGCTGGCCGGCCACCTCGGGCATCTCGCGCAGAACGTGCTCGAGGTACCGGATGGCCTCCGCGCGGCGCGCGCGCGGGGCGCCAGGCGCGTAGAGGGCCGGCAGCACAGAGCGGGGGTCGAGGCCCTGCAGCTGGGGCCGCAGCAGCAGCGACACCAGGGCCGGAGGGTCCACGCCGAAGAGCACCGGCGCGAAGCGGCACACCAGGGCCTCCGCGGCGCCCTCGGGCGCGAAGCCGGCCAGCTTCTGGAGGGCGCCGGCGCTGTCCCCGCGGCTGACGTGGAGCAGCGTGACGGTGGTGAAGTCAGGGACACGAATAACGACACAGACCTAAAAGCTCCGAGGTCCGCGCGGATTTCTCAGATCCGCGCTCGACCACCTTCCCTGGCGCGCGGAGCGCCGGCGGCGCCGATCCGAGAAATCCGCGCGGGCCTCCGAGTTGTCATGTGTGTGTCACTGTTCGTTCCCCTAGAAGTCCGAGCGCGCCTCGGCGAAGTCGACCAGCTCCTCCAGCCACCCGTGGGACTGCAGCAGGTGGTAGAGCGTCGCGTGCACGTCGAGGTCGCAGCAGCGCTTGCGGAGGAACTCCCGGAGGCTCTGCCGCCTCTCCTCCAGCGCGTCGGTCTCTGCCGCGGCCGCCGCTGGAGCCTGGGCCCTGGCCCTGCCGCCGGGCCGCGCCGAGATGTCGTTGAGGTGGCCCAGTGCCATCTCCACCGCCCACACGCCCAATCCGCCACCGTGCCCCCACGGCACGCTGACGCGTGGCAGAACCTGACCGGCAGGGTCGGGACGCGCCGCTGCAGGCCGATCGGCTCGCAGGACGAAGGACAGCAGAGGGGAGAGAAGGGCGACAAGGAGGCGGGTGAGGAGGGGGCAGAAACAAGGGGAAAGCGAGGAGGACCAGGAGCACTACGAGGAGGAAGACAAGTACAAGGACGGGGCGAACGAAGACTAGGAAAACAAACACGAAAAGGAGGAGGAAGACAATCGACGACGCGGGGTAGGACGACGGCGGCGTGAAGGCGAGGAGGACAGCGTGCATGAGGGGGGTGGCGGGAAGGACGAGGCAGAGGACGGGGCCCTCGAGAAAGGACGACCGAACGACGCGCGAGTCGTCCCTGCAGGGGGACGGGCCGGTTAGCGGCCTGCGCGGGGCGGCCATGGCCACTTACCCCATCCGCCTAATGAGCTGCTTCACGGTGCAACCCAGAAGCGTTGCACCGCGAAGGACGACGAGGGGGACGAGTGGGACAAGGCTGGAGAGGACGAGGACGACGGGGAGGACGACCAGGAGAAAGACGCAGTGAAGAAGAGCGTGGAGGACAATGAGGAGGAGAGTAACGAGGGAGGACGAGAAGGAGGAGGGCGACGAAGAGAAGAGGGACGAGGAGCACTAGGAGAAGGACGTGGAAGAAGCGAGACCCATTGGTACTTGGCGGAGCTACGATGGAGTCTACCAGGAGCGTCTGAGGCCGTTTTCGATCCTGTACGGGGCCTTTCAGACGGTTTTAGCGAGAAATGTGCGTTTGTCGGGGTCCCCTTGGGGGCGTCTGGGCCTGTTTGGACTGCCTGGGCGTGTCTTGGGGAGTTTGGGGGGGCTCTGTGGAGCAGTCTTGGCGCCTCCTTGGGCCATCATGGGGCTCTTTTGGCCGTCTGAGGGGCCTCCTGGGGCGCTCGTGGGAGCCTCTTGAAGCCCTTGGGGGGGCGCTCTTGGGCGCTCTTTGGGTTCTCTGCCAAAGGCTGCCTGGCAGGGTTTCTGCCATCTTCGGAGGCCCCCCCCACCCCACACCCACTCTCACCACAGACTGTTGCGTGCACCGCCCCCCCCCCCCCTCCCGGGGCCATCTCCCATGGAAAACACTGGATCCGCACCCCCGAGGCCACGACCACTCGTAAAAACCTTGGCCCACACTCCCAAGAGGCTTCCGAGGCGGCCGTGGCAGGCCACGGCGCAACCGCCTCATTTCGGCACACCACTCACACGCTTCGTGGCCCGCAGGGAGCTCCACCAAAGGCTCCAATGGCAAGGTCCGCGTGGCAGCGCCCCATCATCTCGGCACACCCCACATACGCTCCGTGGCCTCACAAGGAGCTCCACCGAAGGCCCTCCTAATGCCTTGGTCCGCGTGGCGCCACCGGCCAATGTCTGCACACCCCTCAACTGCTTCGTGGCCCCCATCTATACTTCTCATCCCCAGGTGCAAAGAAACACTTACAGAGGATCGACGGGGGGAAGAATGGGGGGGGTGCATGGGGGGGAAAACAATCTCCGAGAAGACAGAGCGCAGCGCAAACAAAATTTTTGGAAGATACCGCTTTCCACACCGAATAATCCAAAGGGGCTTAGATCAGGCTCGCCTGAGGCGCGATGAAGTCCCTTTGACGTTTCAAGATTCCCACCACAGGGCAGTCGGCGGCCTTGGCCTGCCAATCGAAACACGGTTCTGCTGGTATGCCATGCGTATCGAAGACTGCCCATGGAATTGGCAACTTGAGCGCCCAAGCTTCGCACGAAGTTGCTTCTCGGCGGCGCCTTTCCACGCAGGGCTGGCGGCGATGGCGGCCAACGCCTACGTGGACGCTGCGCTGTAGGAGTAGGTTCGGTGCGGGACCCCGATCGGCGGACTGAGGCACCCCTGCGTTGCCTGCACCACTCAGAGCAACGAAGGGGCTCTCACAGGGAGGTGCGCCCGCCCGCCCAGGGAAGGCACCCAAGACAGGGCACGCGCGCAGAGTTCCCCCGCGGGGGGGGGGGGGGGGGGGCAAAAACCACCCCTCCAGGCAGCTGATCGAAGCTGGAGGTACCCGAAGCCAACCCCCGGGGCAACTGATCGAGGCTGGGGGGGCCCAAAACCACCCCTCTGGGGGAACTGAGTGGGAACATAGGCAAACATAGCGGGAACCCAGAGAACATGTTCCCCAACATTTGTTATGCAAACCGAAAAAACGTTGGTAGTTCAAGGATCTGAGGGAACATAGGGGAACATAACGGGAACATTGTGGGAACATAGGGGAACATAGTGGGAACATAGTGGGAACATTATGGGAATATAGCTGCCCGAAACCATTGAACAACCATTGCTTTTTGAAGGATCTAGAGAAACATAGGGGTGGGAGCATAGGGGAACATAGTGGGAACATAGTGGAACACAGGGGGATGTAGCTGCCCAGAAACATTGGAAAACGATTGGTTTCTCAAGGATGTAAGGGAACATAGGGAGACATGGTGGGAACATAGTGGGAGCATGGGGGAACATGGGGGGAGCGTAAGGGCCGTAAGGGAATGCAGGGGAACATAGCTGACCCAGGGGGTGGTTTGGGGCACCCCCCGCCTCGATCAGCTGTCCCAGGGGGTGGTTTGGGGCACCCCCCGCCTCGCACAACTGCCCCCGCCGGTGATTGTAGGCACCCCCAGCCTCGATCGGCTGCCCCCGGGGAGCGCATGGGGGTCGTCGCGCACAGGCCCCCTGCTGGGAGCCAGCCAGGGCGAGAGGGGGCACGACGACCGTGGGGCCCAATCCACCGCCAAGGGGCCGCTGGAGGGACCCAAGACAGTGTTGGAGGGCTTCCCGAAGGCACAAGACGGCCCCAAGGCAGCCCACACGATGGGCGCGGCCCCCCAGACGGCGCAGGAGAGCCCCGAGACGGCCAAAGGGGGCCCCGAGACGGCCCAAGGTGGCCCAAAGGGACCCCCAAAACTGCCCCACAGGAGCCCGAGACGGGACGGACGAAAGGAGTGAGGACGACGAAGACGAGAAGAGAACCCCCCGACACGACGCGGAAGAGTGCCACGGGCTGCGGCTCTCGCAGGACCTCGGGGCACGAGGCGCCCACCGAACGACGGCCACCCAGGGTGCTGGCCGGGCCGGCACGGCGGCGGGACGTGCCGCAGGCGGCCGGATATCGCGCGCGTCACCTTGTCGCTCTTGGGGCAGCGCTCCATCCTCTGGCGCATCAGCTCGGAGAGCGCGTCCTTGCAGCCGGCCCGCAGGAAGCGGAGCGCCACGTGCTCGAACGGGGCGCCGTCCGCGCTCCCCGCGGCAGTGGACTCCGCGAACCTGCGCGCCGCCTCCACGAGCCGGCCCTGGCGGAAGAGCCAGTCGGCGTACGCTGTGAGGACCTGGGCTCGCTGGGAGGCGCCCTTGCAGGCGTGCAGCGCGTCCTCCCACTGCTCCTGCTTCACCAACATCGTCCAGACGTTGCGGTCCTCCCGGTCGGCTCGCAGCTCGAACAGGCCCTTCTCGGAACGCAGCCAGACCCTGTCGTCGTTCGCGTCGGCCACGACCTCGCGCGGAGAGCCGGCTACGCTGGACGACCACTCGTGCTGCTGGACGACCTCGCTGCTGACGCGGCTCACCACCACCCAGCGGTCCTCAAACAGCAGCACCAGGTGGTACGGGGTGAGGGCCATGGACAGCGGCGGCGGTGGCGGCGTCTCGGGGAGCAGCGCGGAGACTGGGCTGCCTCCAGACCTGGTGCCGCGCGCAGCCCTCGGCGAGCGCGGGAAGCGGATCAGGCCGGGGGGGGACTCCAGCAGGGCGCCGTCGGGGCCGAGGGGGCACTTCACCGTCGCGGCCAGGATCCCCACGCCCGTCAGCCAGAAGAGCACCTTGGACGAGGCCGCTCCGACGCACCGCGGGGCCAGCTGGAGGTCCCCGTGGGGGGCATCCCGGGGCACCTCGAAGACCAGCGCCCGTGACATCGCCACCTCCCCCTGGCAGCGTTGGAACACCGTGTCCAGCGACGAGCCGACGAAGGCGTAGAGCCCGCAGCCTGCGGCGACGAAGACCACGGTGCGCTCGGAGCCGTCCGCGGCCAGCACACGCTCCCTGCAGACGCCGCAGACGGGCATGCCGTGCTGCTCACCAGCCAGACCGACGGTGAAGGCGAAGAGGGCACGCAAGGTCTTCTCCTTGCCGCCCTCCACGACGAGGTGCAGGATCTGCCCGCCGAACGTCCCCAAGAGCACGTCGTGCGTGGACGTTTCCGTGGACTCCGGGTCCCACGACGCCGCCTCGACGACGTGACCCTGCAGCCTCTGAAGCCGCTGCGCCCTCCCGTCCAGGCCGACGTGCCAGGTGTCCTCCTGGCTGTTGGCGACAAGGGCGTGGAGGCCCTTCGGCTCCAGCAGGATCCTGCCGACGCCGCCACACCCCTCGCGCCCGAAGTCCACGGGGCTCGCCTCGTCCTCGGCGGGGTACCAGCGGACCACGTCGCCGCCCTGGAAGGCCGCCAGCACGGAGCCGTTGGCGGCCGCGGCGGCGGCGGTGCGGCGCTGCGCCTGGACGCCCAGGGTCTCGAGGGGCACCGGCTGCAGGGCGAAGATGTGGCTCTCCGCGTGGGGCGCGTCCTCGTCTGCCCGCCCGTCCAGGCGCTCCATCGCGCCCCCCCCCCGCCGCCCCCTCGCGCGCAGGGGTGCCTGCGCCGCCTCCTCCCTCCAAGCCCCTGCAGGAACCAAAAACGGCTACAGGAGAGGGGGGGGGGGGACGAGGGGGAGGAGGGGGAGGAGGGGGAGGAAGTAGAGAGAGGAGGAGGGAGGGGGTGGAGGAGAGGGAGGAAATGGAAGATGACGGGGAGAGGGGGGGTGAGAAGGGGGGGAGGGAGGAGGTGGTGGCGGAGGAGGATAAGAAGGATGAGAAGGGGGAGGGAGTGGATGGGGAGAGTAGGAGGGGAGGGAGAAGGAATAGGAGGAGAATGAGAAGGAGGAGGAGGGAATTTCGTTTTCTGTCCATCCTTCTGGCCTCCGCCGGACGATCGGAATGATTCGGGCAGGCCCCCTGGAGCGCTCTCGACGAGGCACAGCTGCTGGAAAGCATCCCGACGCGAGACAATCCAAGACAACAAATGAATGCGTCAGAAAACAATACAAAAGACTGCTTCGCAGCACGAGGAAGCCTGACTCCCTCCGAGAGAGGAAGAGTAGGAGGAGGAGGAG